ACAACTACAGTCAAATGTATTGTTTCAGAAGAGAGTATATCCTCTTACTGAATCTTTTCCTGCACTTATTGTTTGATTTAATATTTCCAGTATAGTGGAATGACCATCATGAAAACATAGCGTCCTGTAGCTCTTTCTATATAATTCCATTCAGATATTCACACTTTTATTTTTGTAAGTTAATGCAGAAGACAATACATATTTACATCTATTTCTGATACTTCCAATTTTAAGGAATAATCATGGAGTCTATACTGTTACATAGAAGATGCTAAAAAAATACTTAACAGGGAGTTTAACATTATTCATGGAACAAAGGAGCTGAGGTTTATTGCACTTTTAACAATATGTTAAAACTCATACAAGCATTTATTTCTTTTATTATAGATGTAAATCAATGACCAGTTCCTAAAGTATTGAAAGATAAAAGTCAAGGAAAAAATTCTCAGTTCATAGTGCCAAAGTATTTTGTTAATAATGATAAAATTCAATTAAAAAAGATTACTCATGTTATTATGTAGAATTGATGCTAAAATTCTATATTAGAAACAAGTATCGATTGATTGTGTTAGGTAGAATTAAAGAATAAACAGTCGGGCGGAAATTTATTAAATGCATAAAACATAACAAAAGCCAGCGCTGTATTTATTCATCCATTTCAAAAATTGTGGCTTTTCTATCCAACTGTCTTCAAATCTGTGAAATCAGAAAAAACTCTAAAATTGTAATTTTTTTCCAGAGAAGCATTTCCATCCTCAGAAAAATAAATGTTAAAAAAGAATTGAAATACAAAAAGTGAAAAGAAAATCATTATTTCATTATAATTTTAATCATAAAAACAGATCTGCTTAATATTATTTTTTGTAACAATAACAATAGAATAAAAATATTTCTTTAAGTATGTCCAGTGATATTAAAAATAGTTTTAAATTTTGATTTTGACTTGCAGATGCCCCAGAGGAGCTGCATGAGATCTAAAATTTCTCTGAAACATAGTTTGAAAACCTTCAAACTACTTGCAAACTTCAAATTATGTGAAAAAAAGAAATGTAGATGTAAACAGCAGTGATTAAAAAGTTTTAATCACCAAAATATTTTCATTCCATCAGATTGTTTGTTTAATTTTGAAGAAGACACTGTAGAGACATTAGGATTTTTTTTTTTTTTTGGAAGCTGAGAGACATGAAAAACGAGCAATGCCTTTCCCGCGACACGAACCATGGACCTCTCGAATATGTGCCGAGTGTGCTGATCACGAAGGCAAGAGAAATACCTTATAACACAATCCGATAATAAGATCACAAATAGAAGATAAGAATTTTTTTCTTCTGGAAAATTTAAAAAAAAATATTCATATTGCATATATACAAGCCTATACCATAAATTGTACCATATATAAAATTCTTGGATTATCTAATGGAAAAAAAAAGTAATAAATGTAAATATTTCAATAAATGAATGGATAAAAAATGGCCTTAAACAACCAATAGAGAAATTAATGCCAACAAAAACATTATTATTGAAACAAATGTAAATAAACACAAATTGCCTAATGTATTTAATTTGAATATCTGTTTTGGAACGAAAGGTGTAAACAGCCTTAATGTGCTTAATAACTCAGATTTGTAATGCATATATTTTTATTTCCAATGGTAGACAAAAATATATACACACAAAAATATATCACATACTAAATAACAAACAGAGAATAAGGAAGCCTATTTAGTGCTTGAACATACTATTTAGTGCCTTCTAGTAACAGCCACAGAGATCCTGTACAAAGAGAGCTATGCATTTCGCAGGTGGTGGAGGTTGTATCTTGGGCCTTTATTACAAAGGATGATCACAGAATTTTCAAATAGAAAGGTTTCGCTGAATAATGACCGGGTAAAAGATAAGTTATTATGATGGAATTAGCCTTTGGGTATCGGAAATGGACATGTAGTTGAAGAATGAAAGCTTGCTTTAAATTACAGAGATTTCTAATATATTAATTTAATATATTTTAATAATATAATACTTTTCTAATATATTTATTTTATTATCCAAATTTTATTTTTTAATTAACAGAAAGGTACGGCATAAGTTTCAGTGATCAATTGTCAGAAAGGCTTCTTCTGGATGGCTTAATAATAATACAAGGAAATAAGCTTATTTTACACATGCCTTATGGCATAAGAAAAGGAACTTCTGAAGTATATTAAGAACTAAAAAGATGTACATATACCATAGAAATGATTTTTAACTCTAAACAAAATTACTGGTTATCATTTCGGAAACAAAATTCAATACTTGCCCATAGTAAGACCAACTTGTGAAAGATTTTTTGCCAAACTGCAAATCATTGTGTAAGGAGGTAAATTTCCAAAAGCCATTTTGAAATTTTTAATAATATGACTAATAATCATAAGATACTACTTTTTGATCAGTAACATGGGTTGTTTGAACTAAGAAAAAAACTTTAAATTGCATCAGTATTAAAACGAGCTAATTAATTTTAAATCATAAAATACAGTGAACCGTCTGTAAGACAGCCAGGCACAGCTGCTATAAAAATTTTTTTTCTATGGAAGTGGTTGTCTTAGGGAGAGGATAATTGATGCCAATGTTATTTATGTTGTTAAATTACCACTTTTGTCGTCCTGGTACTGTTCTCTGTCTATACATTTTGAATCTGAAATAAGGCATTCAGCACGGCATGCACACTGGGTGTAAGGAAAGAGAAGCAACAGAAGAAACTGGAGAGTTTGGTTAAATGATAAAAACCAAATCCTTAATACCACTATTGACAGAGAGAGACCAAAATGCAAATAAGAAGCAAATTTCCTTAAAAGCTAACAATGAAGAGGGATTAAAATTAGACTCAATGGTTAAAACCATGGGATTTTTATTGATATAAAACATCAAATGTCAAATGAAGTGGTGTCTCCCCCCCCCCAGTATAATTTTTCGATGTGGAGAAATGGAAAACATGATTTTTTTAACTAGCAATCGTAGGCAATGCAGAATTTATGAATTTCTTTTCTTTGAACATAATTTTGTGTTTTTCAGTACAAAATTTAGGACACGCATCTCTGCTGTTTGGAGGAAACTTAAAATAGAACTCTGTGAACATAATTAAAAAAAATACAGATCACTAAAATAAATAAAAATTTAGATTCTTTTCTTGTGTTCTAACATATGTAATTATTACTTCAGTAGATTCTAATATTTATTTTATAATCATGCATTATTACTACTTAGGCAACAATACAGACATATAAACTTTCATATTTTTACGTTTTGGTGTCGTGGTGCTAATCTGATAATTAAAGAAATAATAGTAACAATCCCATAACAAAGATATATTAAGTACTAATTCAATTTAAATTACATGCAGAGATAACAGACTCGGACACATTCAGCTACCGTCACTACAGTTGTTTGCGAGAAGTCCGAGTGAGTAATGACGTCGCTTGCTGCTCCGATTAAGAAACTGGATTTTTACACGTGGCGCCATCTCATGAATAGAATTTGAAGTATCTGTCGGAACGCCACGTACTCCCCCCCCAAGTACCATCGGTACGTTACAAGTACTTTGGGTGAAATGTTTTCGGTGTTCGTTTGAACAACTTTGAATGGACCATCATATGAAGGTGTTAAAGTTGGCTTAATTCATCGTTGTGCACGAATACGTGCGAAGATGGTTCAAGCGCAGGATTACAAATAGCTTGGCTGGTTTATGCGAAGATGCTGGGGTTGCGAGTTATTGCTCGTGGTCTCACGTAAACGTTGAAGGAATGTTGGAGGGCCGATAACTGGAGTAGATTCTGGGTGAAAGAATTCACCTGGCAGATGGAGGGTTGCACCATATAACATTTCAGCACAAGTGCTACCATGTCTTCTTTGAATGCTGTGCGAAGACCAAGCAAGACTAGGGGTAAGGCTTCTGTCCAGTGTGTCTACTGTGGCACTTCAGACCTTGTTTGAGAGATCGTGAAAGCGTTCCACCATCCCATTTCCAATGGATGGTATGGTGTTGTGCGAATATGGTGAATGCCAAGAAGAGAGGTGAGGGATGCGAACAAGTGACATTGAAATTGTCGGCCTTGGTCAGTAGTGATGGTGATAGGCATGCCAAATCTTGAAAGCCACTGGGAGATGATGCTCGAGCTACAGTTTCAGCGGATATATTTTCATAGGAATGGCTTCAGGCCATCTTGTGTACCGACCAATACAAGTGAGGAGTAAGTGTAACCATTTGAAGGAGGCAAATGGCCAACCAAGTCTAAGTGCACATGATCAAAGCGTCTTGCTGGAAAGTTAAATTGTTGAATGGGGCTGTGAGTGTGACGGGATACTTTACAACCGTTGACATCTAATAATGAACGATTCCATTCTGTGATGTCTTGATTCATTGCTGGCCAGACGAATCTGTCTGCGATCAGCTTTTTGGTGGCACGGATTCCAGGATGTGCCAAATTGTGCAAGGCATTAAACACTTCACTTCTAAAAAATTGACAGGAATATAGGGACGTATTCTATTGTTCTCTATGTCACATTAAATTTTAAAGCGTTGGATCAATGTGCACAGCGGTTGTAAACTGAAGGGAGGTTTGTGGATTTGAGATTAGGTTTCTTGAGTTCCTCATCACATGCAATTGAGCTTTTGCAATTTTCAGAGAAATCTGGGTAGTGAGGTTGATATTGTTTACCCGAGACAAGGCATCAGCGACACAAATTATCAGTACCAGAGACATATCTGATATCTGTACTAAACTGGGCGATGAAATCCAGATGTCAAGCGACGAGGAGAACATAGTCAGAGTTTTTCTAAAAGCGACGGTTAATGGACGATGATCGTGAAAATGATGAATCGTGTCCTTCCAAGGTGTGCCGGAAGTATTTACAGCACAGTACAACAGCAGGTAGCTCCTGTCATATGTGCTGTATTTCCTTTCGCTGTAGTAAGTTTTTTCTGGAGAAGAATGCCATTGGAGAAAGTCCTTTAGTGGTATGGGCTTGAAGCACAGCTCCTATGGCTGTGTCAGATGTATCTACCATTATAGAGAGCTTACCATTAGGTTGTGATAAGAAAGTGTGGTTGCATTTGACAGATCATTTTTGCATTGCACGAATGCTGCAGATGCAGATTCAATCCCTAGGACAGATAGGACAGATCGTTGATCTCTTTCTTTTTTTTTTTTTTTTTTTTTCTTTTTTCTGCTATTCTTTAGAAACTTATGCAGGCAGGCCTGTGTTTTTGCAGCATTTGGCAGGAAGCGCCGGTAGAAATTTAACATTGCTAGGAAACACTTCAGTTCAGAGATGGTTTTTGGCTGAGGTCAGTCATTAATTGCTGTTACTCTTTCAGGTAAAGGTTTTACTCCATTCTGAGTGATAAGACATTCAAGAAAGGAAACTAAGGGCTGACCAGGTACACATTTTGATGGATTTAGTTTTAGTCCATGCTCTTTAAGGTAAGTAAAAATCTAGTGCAGATGTTAGAAATGTTCTTCTGCATCTGTAGATGCAACCAGAATATTCTCAAAATAGGGGATGCAGAAATCAAGACCAAATAGCACTTGGTGTATGAATTGTTGAAATGTTTGGCCAGCATTGTGAAGGCCAAATGGCATGTACAAGTATTCAGAGACCAAATGGTGTAGTCACTGCAGTTTTGGGCACATCTTCAGCATACACTGGGATCTGATAATATGCCCTAGTAAGATCAAGGGTAGAAAATATGTGTTTTTGATGAAAGAGTTAGGTACAGTCTTGGATAAGTGGCATTGGATATCTATTATAGACTGTGATGGCATTAAGTTGACGGTAGTCTCCACAAGGCCGCCAGTCACCATTAGACATTTTGACCATGTGAAGTGGACTGGCCCAGGGGCTTTTAGATAGAAGAATAATTCCCTGTGCTAGCATGAATTCAAATTTTTTGCAAGCAGCCTTTAGCATCTCTGGAGAAAGGTGACGAGGCTTGGAGAATACAGGTGGGCTATGAGTTTCAATGTGATGATACACCTTCTAGCTGATAAGTATGCTGCTCTGGTTGAGATGGATTTGAAATGTCAGGGAATTCTGCTAATAATTGATGAAACAGTGTGTCACCCAATACAACAGTTATGTTCTTAGGTACGCTTTGATATATGTGAGAAGCTTGGCCCTGTGATGTCAGCTGAGTTGTAGCATCAATTAAGCAATTATTCTTGACATCCACTAGAAGGTGAAACTGTGTCAAGAAATCGAAACGCCAATAATTGCTTGAGTGACATCCGCAATTTAAATCAAAAGGCCAGTTTTAAAGTCCAGGCACAAGTTGCAAATCAAGCGTTAATAGTTTGGTGCCGTTAAGTTGCAATTTGGGTACCATTTGCTGCATACAGTACAAGTTTATTAAGTTGGTGAGCATTTGTTTTAGTTCTAGATCATTTGCACTGATATGTCTGCTCCAGTATCCACTACAGAAAACATAACTGAGTTGAACGGTCAGATCTGTACAATTCTGTCAATGTGGCGAACATTCTGTTGGCCAGCAGAAGACCGCCCATTTAGTTTCCCAGCTTGTTTAAAAGTACATGGAGGAGCACACTTGCGTGCCTGAGCACCAAGAATTCATATGGTAAAAACATATGCCACTTGCAGGCTCTTTGTACTTGCATTCAAGAGTATTGTGATGAGATCGACTCCTGCTTCGGCTTTGAAATTTATTGCATGGGCCCTGATTCGATCGATTGTATCTGCCGTGAAGCATCAAGACTTGTAGAGAGTTCAGACACTTTCTTTGGTCAATTCGGCCACTTTTTGTTCCAGGGATGAACTTGGAAGGTGCAGCATTAGCAGCACCTGGCATAAGCTGGAGTAACAAGTTCATTAATTTTGTCAGCCATTGCTGCTAAACGGGTTTGATCTTCATTGGAAAGCAGCATGAATTATTTGTATGTTATTAGAGTTATTATTTGTATGAAAGCCATAGTGACTTCAACAAGTCATCACTGAAATGGCTTTCCTGCCAGATCACACATTCATGTACAGCAAGTATGAAGGGTCGCTGATCACCATGTTCAAGTCCTTGTAGTAAAGTAAGTATTTTTGAAGATTCACTTTCTGAAATAGATTTCAATGAGCTGCTGTTTCAGTTTGGAATATTTGTCACAAGTCAGGTGGTTTAAGTAATTAAGTCATGCACTGAATTCAGAATATCAGGACTCGATTACTGCAACTTACGTGGTTGAATTTTGTAGAATCCTCACTAATGCGAGCGATAGAAAATTGGCTTTCGATCTGAGTGAACCACAATGAAGGATTATTTTTCCAGAAAGGCGGTGGCTTCACCGCAACGCGTGTGATTTGTGGCTCTGGTTGGAATATCGTTCGGGCATACTTGATAGAATAATTTTCACTTTGAATTAATAAACACTTAACCTGCACAAATATTGTTAGCATGAGGGATACGCTATTGAATATTTTGCGATGATAACAATTAATATTTTTAACCATGCAGAAAAAATTTACGTACGATACACACACAAATAATACAGGGTCCGGCAATTACACACACAAATAATATTTTATCGAAATGCATTTGAAAAGGAAAATCCTTATTTGAGAAAAAAAATGATGCGTTCACTTTTGTATTGCACACACACACAAAAATCACCACTATTCACACTGTTGAGGCACTATTACCGAAGGAAAATGGAAATCACTTCTGTAGCAACATGGGGAAAGAAATTCACTTACTTTCGAAACACTGAGGGAAAGAATTTTTGCCGTAGCACGTTTGCAGAAAATATTACTGATGTAGCAACATTTAGCGAAAATCACTGTTGTATCACATTTGTCACAAAAGTTGAATGATCGAAGAATTATTGCCACTACTGGCGAAGTCAGCGGAACGGAACAGAATCACATTGACGATTTTGCTGAAAGCTCCTTGCGATGATATGCACACGACTTTGAAAAAAACACAAGCAAATATATATCAATACTTTGTAGAAAATAATTGAAGGGGTACGTTGTAGCATACGTTTTAATGTCCATATTCGTTGTTATTTTTTAGTCAGTTCTTTCTTCAGAATGCCTTGCAGATGCACGTGGCTTAGGGTCGTTGAAAATCCATTCTCAGTAGCGTGCTCAATCAAAATGTCACCACTTTTGGTGGTTGTGTGTGCTTAATGCATGATATAATTAAAGAAAATAAGAATAGACAATCTCCTATAACAAAATATATTGAGTACTAAATTACAATTTAAATTACATTGCAGAGATCAACACAGAGCTCGGAACACAGTTTATGCTACCGTCGCGTACAGTTGTTTTGCGAGAAGTCCAAGTGAGTAATGACGTTGCTTTGCTGCTCCGGTTAAGAACTGGATTTTACACGTGGCGCCATCTCATGAATAGAAGTTGAAGTATCTGTCGGAACGCAACACTGTCATTACATTCGCAATTGCTGTTTTTTTATTAACAAGAGAACTGAACATAGCATATCAATACTTTTGTATCAGCAATATGAGTAAGTTTCTGTTTATTAAGACTTTCAAAGTTCTCACGATGAATTAATTCGAATAATGGAAATAATTGACTGTAGCATAGAGATTTATTGGTATTGCGTCCACTCTCGTATACAGCAAAAAAAAAATTATGAAGAGCAACCCTTATCTGCAAGATTTTCCACATATAACCTTACCATAATTCCGCATAAAACGTAAACAAAGTATCGAGACTTCGTAATCGATTACAAAGTGCAAAGCTATCAGCTATTCGTCATTGATGGGGAAAGGAAAGTCTGGGCCATCTGAAAAAGCGGCGACCATACAAACAGTGGCAGTGAAAAACGAAGTAGAAGTGATTGCCATATCCCTTTAAAAAATAAGAACTAAACCTTATGTAAAAGTTAGAATTGTTTCAAGGAGGAGAGATGAGGGAAAAAAAAAAAAATGGGTTACAATAGGTCATATTTTCAACAGATAGTCATGTCCTCAGATGCTGAAAGTAGTTTGCTGTTTTTGAAATCAGGAAAAATCGTATTTCCTTAAAACGTAAAATCCGAGTATGCTTGGATCTGTAATATCCGCCACATGTGCTGTGTGATGGTAGGTGGCACTTCCGAAAGTGATATTCATGTTCTCTTCCCAGCTATGTCAATTTTATCACCAGACACAGTCTGAAGGGTGACACAGGATGGCATCCAAATAAGCTTATCCTTAAATCGTTGAGATAAGTTTTTCTGAATGATGGTAACATTAGCTCCTGTGTCAATGATCATATTGCAAGGAACTCCATCGATATTCCCATTGATGGACAGTCCGTTACTGTTGTCATTCACTGTAGAAATTTTAAGCACTTTAAAACAGTTTTTCATTATCTGACATCCTCCGCTATCTGATCCATTATCTGATCCTATGATCATTAATTTGTTTCCCGCATCATTGCTGGGAAATGATCTTATTTCTCGTACCCTGTGATGTTCTGCAATTCCTTTGTGCGTGGCCTCCGGCTCCACAGTTCCAGTACTTTGGTTTCTTGTCACTCCTTTTTTGTCCGATGGCATTTAATTTGCTGTTCCACTCGTCTGTCTTATTTTCTGTGCTCTGAGGTGTTCTGCAGTTTCTTCATATGTGGCTTGCAACACCGCAGTTCCAGCACTTTAGAATCGGTTTCTCTTCACTCCTGTTCCATCTCAAGCCACTGATGTGTCTGTTAAAAATCATCTGTTTTATTTCCCGTACCCTGGGGTGTTCTGCAAATCCGTCGGCAACCACAGATTTGCCAACTCTCCCAATTTAGGCGGGAGACTTTCGACTGGTCTCTCGCCAACCCGATTTACGATATATTTCTCCCGACTTTTTCTTTTTCTTAAAATTTCTCACGGTTTTTATGGAACTTGGCTTAATACTTGTTATATGAACAAAAAAAAAAAAAAAAAAAAATTTGGACGTCTAAAAGCAATTGA